TTTTTTTTAGGTCCGCGTTCCGCCTGAACGGCCGAACGCATCCCCATGAGGTCCCATACGTTCGGGCGTTCGGGTTCGGGCGTTCGACCCGTCCCGAACGCCGATTACCCTGTATATAACACGTTATTCGTTAAAATAGGACATTATACTGTGTCCTCTTTCTAAGGAATTAATTTTTGGCTGCAGCCTAAGCAACGTAGGCATGCCCATCCAGGGGTTGGGATCCTTACTTGTTGAACATCAAAAACCCGCCACCACATGCAAAAGCGAGCTGAGATCCATACTTGTGAAACTTCATAAATGAAATCCCAAATGGGGAAGTGCGTTGGGATCCTTACTAGTTGAACATCAAAAACATGTTGGTGATCCTATGGGGAAGTGTGTTGGGATCCATACTAGTCAAACTTCATAAACGAACAACGATTGGCACGCCAAACGGAACCCTATGCGGAACTGTGCTGTGATCCTAACTTGTCAAACTTCAATTTCATAAATGTGATGAAAGACACAGTAACTATATTGTGACAATGTCCTCTTTCTTACGAATTCATTTTTGACTACAGTGTTTGTACATGGGCATGCCCGCCCAGTCGCCCCAAATGCGAAAGTTTGCTGACATCCATAGTTGTTGAACTTTTGTAAACAAAATTAGCAATGTAATTAGATTGAATTATATTAAATTGTGCTCCATAGCGATGAATATCCGCATTTCAAATGGTTATGCAAAGAAGGTTTGGGCATCCATTGACCAATTTCACATAAGATGAGATTTCTCATTCATCCACCAACCAGTTTTACAATCATGTTTACACTTTCAGTTGAACAAAATTGAAAACATGGAAGACAATACTTTAACTTGAACAGAATTCGGAACATGGAACATTACGTGACATAGATTACAAAGCCCATACATGACGCAGGACATGCATTGAGCTTGCCGTAGGTAATGCGAACTCGGAACGATAAAAGAAAGCAATGCCTCTGGCAGAAGGACAGTTGAATAATGTCTTGATTTACGAAATTTAACGATCAACGAATGAATCACCTTAAAAAAAAGTTTAGAAGTCAATCAAATCCATCAAAGACAACGATGTTCTAAGACACATGATGCTAATTATCGTCTAAGAAGCGGAATATCTTTACAAGAGAACCGGAAAAACGGTCGATCTCCATGTTGCAACAACGTCGCATACATCAACATGAACACACCACAGCTTGCTTCATCCACTTCTCTCGGAACTCCATCCACCACAACATTTCCCACCATAGACTTCCAATTCCTACCCGACCGCCTATGTGATGTTTGACGTTCCAAATACTGCACAATCAACCCGAAAACACTAAGGTAAAAACTAGAATCAGCTACAACGCGAGAAAAATAATCAAAAATTTCGAGAACATCATCTCTTATGTTGACGGAAATGAGGATCCAGTGATCATCATCTTTGTGGACAGGAACCAAGATAATATCGTAACGAAGCAAATCTACGTTTTTAGCCCACCTCTGCACCCCACCGTGTCCTTGAAGTTGCAGTTTACTGAAGAAGAACGAATTAAAGCTGAAGACTTGAAGGCCTGAAGAGATGTCACGTGACCCACATGCGGTCGACCCCAACAACGCCATATAGAAATTGACCACCTCATCATTCGCCCTGCCGTTCACATGCAAGAGGGTGAGGAGATTTTTTGCTGCAATCCGAAATTGACCATCGCCCAGTATAGAGAGAATAGTGTTAGACGGCACCGAGCCTCGTACAATGCCATCCAAAACCCGAAAGCTCAGAGGCGCAATTGTCGCAGCGAAACTTTTCCCGCGTGCTGCACTTGTTGCCCGCACTGCACAACATCGAGCAAAGGACACGTGGTGTAGTGAGAAACGGAGTTCTAAACATTGTCCCCCGGTGCATGACGCGTTGCTCAGTACTTCTCATACATGGCCTGACCCCTACTCACAGATCGTGGATATGTCCGTTTCTCTGGGGCAAGAAGGGAAAAACATTCTTTAATGACATTGGTGTACTCCTTCCCAATCTTGACATCAACCCCTGATGCCTTTAACATATCCTTGTGTTTTTTACTCAACCCGGGGACTTTCTGCAATATGTGCTCTGGATATTTGGAAGACCTCCGTGTTCGAGACGACACCACCCCTGTACAACAGAAGAGAGACAAAACGAAAAACGAGAACCATACATTTGTACAGATGCAACAGTCAAGCAGGACCTCTCCGACCACAGGACCCTGATCTCGCGTGGTCATGTGCACCCAGGTGCGGTTGTGCGACTGAAAAACAAAATGACTGCAACATCCGAGCTTATCACCCCCGCACTTCGCAAAGGAAAACCACCACAACTCACAGAAATCGGAGGCCAGCAATCCGTGAAGTTTGGACTGCGGCGGACTTTTGAACACACCAGCCCCACTGAGACTGACCATATCACGCATCGACAAAGGAAGTTCGGATCTCGGCGGACTAAAACCGGCACTATTCCCGAGAAGGGAAAACTGTCAGTCCATGTACTTGGCCACTTTCTTAGCACCTTGGCCTACAGTCAAGCAGGACCTCTCCGACCACAGAACCCTGATCTCGAGTGGTCATGTGCACCTAGGTGCGGTTGTGCGACTGGAAAACAAAACGACTGCAACATTCGAGCTTATCACCCCCCGCACTTCGCAAGGAAAACCACCACAACTCACAGAAGCCGTAGGCCAGCAATCCCCGAAGTTCAGACTGCGGTGGATTTTTCAACACACCAGCCCCACTGAGACTGACCACATCACGCATCGACAAACGAAGTTCGGATCCCGACGGACTAAAACCGGCATTATTCCCGAGAAGGGAAAACTGCCAGTCCATGTACTTGGCCACTTTCTTAGCACCTTGGCCACTTCATCAGCCGGGTCAGATCCTTCCTTGGATGGAGTGTAAGGTTTTGGACGAAGTTTTCGCCGCCCTCGACTAGCAACCCGGCCGAGTCACAGATAGGCCGACGAGCTGGAGTAGGAAGGGCTTCTGGCTGTAGCATGCCGGCACCCGGAACTTCCCGTATGCACAGACATTGTGTGTATAGTGCGGACTGTAATCCGGCGACATCCGGATGCGCAGGCGTTCTTCAAGGCTTACCAGTCTGTTTTTCTCTCCGCTCCTTCGATGGTGAATTTGGCGCAGGCAAAGCGAGCACGTCGAGAGCTTGACCGCCGAACCTTGATTTTTTCGGGGACGTCAAATGCTGTCCTCCACCGCACTCGCCTTCCCCTTCGGCGGCAAGGGTGGCCTGCAGCACCAGAGACTTCGGCGGCGACGAAGCGAGGGCAGCTGTCACGGAAGATGCGACGTTGGCAGTTGCGGACGGACGGGCAGACACGTTGTGGTCGCCGAGGATACGTCGACTTTTTTCAGACGGGCTGATAGTGACGGAAGCCTCGTCGAACCGGCGCTGCAAGTCGACAGCAGACGTCAGTGGCCGGACCGCATAATCTTCACGCTCTGCGGAAAGACTGCTGACCACTTGTGTCTCCATCTCTATTGTCGTGGCATCTTCGTCGACATCATCCTCGTGATGCTCTCCGTACAGTTGTCCGAACTTGTCAGACGACTCTCCAGATCCGGTATCGTCCTCACTGTGTTCCACTTCGTCTTCTCCAGACCCGGCACCCTCCCTTCCTTCAAACAAATCAATTAGCTCCGTTTCTCCCGCTTCCTCCCCTTCCACCTCTTCTTCCCCTTCTTCCTCCCCTTCTTGCGCTCCCTTTTGTTCCTCCGTTTCCTCCCCTACTTCCTTGCCACGAAACTCGTCCCCTTCCGCGGTACCCGTGCCGAATCGCGAGGACCGCCCTTCCGTCCCCATGCACGCTACCCCTCTCAACGGCACGACAATCCCTGGCCGACAAACCCCGCCCGAAGAAGTTCGGATCTCGGCGGACTTCGTGGTCTCCGTGTCGCCGGACCCTGCACTTGCAGCCTCCCGCTGCAATCCTTGCGGCCGTCGCTCCCGCGCAGGCGACACCGTTCCGACGTTTCCGTCCCGCGTCGCAATGCTGCGAATTTCTCGATCCATGCTTGGATCCCCCGACCCCGAGCAGCTTCGCATTCCGGACCGCTCTGGCGGCTCCTCACCTGACGTAGTTCGGATCCCCGCGGACTTCGGCTTTCCGACCGAGCGAATGCCCAGAGCAACCAAGGCTACCAACGTGTCCCTCGCTGAGCCCACGGACGAAGTCTGGGGGTCGGCGGAGTGTGTCGTGTGCTCGGGCCGGGTGCCTGTCGACAGAGTCCGGTCGACGGCGAAACCCGCCACCCCGGCGCTGCCTCCCGGTGTCGTGTTGCGGCCGTGAGACCCTCTCTCCCCCATAGGCGGGATTCCTTTGCCACCCCCTGCGTCGCCACCCCCTGCGTCGCCACCCCCATCCCCTCCGCTTCCAGGTGACCCCCCCCCGGAACCACTGTCCGACCCACTGGGAGGGGGCACTTTCCAGTCCACCACGCCCTTCGACGGACTCGTGTCGAGCTCGTAGTAGTCCTCCGTCAATTCCAACCAGCACTTGTCCTGAAGCTCGTCAAACAGTCGACCCGCAGTGGAAATGAGGCACAGGTCGCCGGGTGCTAAAGTGTCATTTTCAACCTGCACTTTCTGGAGGACCGAAATCCTCGCGAGGTGCAGGAAGTTGGACTTCGACTCGAGTGGGAATGACACCCATCCCGTACCAGGGATCGCCACGGCCATGACCCACTCGCCATTTCGTATCGCTGGCTGGATGACTCCCGGATGCTAAACCATGTCATGGCCCCAGTCCTGCTCAGGTGAATGACGTTGCGGTTCAAGCAGGAAGTGGATGTTGTCATCCTTCCAAGACGGATGATCGGGCGGGACAACGAACCCGGGACGCAAAGCGGGCGCGGGGGCGGCCAGAGCTCTAAGTCTCTCCAGCAACTTCATCAGCGTGGTGCCCGGCGCCGGTTTGGCCAATGGTGACACGAGGGCTGCAGCGCTTGGTGACGGACCGGCCGACGAGGACCCTCCGCCGTGGTCCGCCGGAGGCGGGTCGTACTGCAGGTCGATGCTCTCCGTGTCGCTCTCCTCCTCCTTCGCGTTGGCGACAAACTCCACACCTATGGCTTCCTCGTCGCCAGTGGAGATCAGGGAAGCGTAACTGGCTAACTTCAATTGCTCCTCGGACTCCACGAAGTAGAGCGACTGCAGCCTTTCGATAAACGTCTTCGCGTTCATGCGGGAGGCGAAGTGGTAGTTGTCGAGCAGTGCCAACATGTGGTCCTTCCGACGGATGTACTCGGCGTAAGTGTCCCTCCTCGGACGCGTTTGAAGGAACAAGAAATCGTATATCTTGTTCCTCTTCCTCTCGCTCAACTTGAACCACATATCCGTCTTCTTGCTCCACACCTTATCCCGTGTTGGCCTCACGACCATGAACTCACAATTGTGCCCACTCAAATTGACCTCGCTTTTCACCACCTGCATCGTGAATTGCAAGAGGTCGGAGTTCCCTTCCATTGCGACAACGTGTCGGCCGGCCTTCAAAAACTCCCAGACGCTTCACGCGTGCGGTTTCCCAAGGAACACAACACCCTCTCCCTTCTTGCCAAGAAAATCAAGAAGACCGACGAATTGGGTCGGATTGCGTTCCCTATCCCCATAGACGCTGCCCTGTCGTTCAGGCGCCACCAGCGACCAGTCGCAAGGCGTGAAAGGAATCTCGGACACATCTGTGTGGGTGACCCTCTGAGGCAATCGCACCGCAGCAGCGGCACCCGTGGGGAGGTTTCCCTCGTAGACCACGGACGTGTTGACACGCAGATCGTCACCCTTGAAGAGGATGTATATGCGGTCTTCCTCCATGTACAAATTGTTCCCAACGGGGAAGCTTTTTTTTTGCTGCACTTTTCGCACCCACTTCCCTTCCAACAGCTTGACGAAAGAAAGATGGTGCATGTTGGCGAGAAACGACAGGTTGTGCTGCCGTGGCACGAAAACCACGAGAGTCCAATGCAAGGGACACCACGTCTGAAGATAGGAATTCAAAGTCTCCCACGCTTGGGGCTTCCACAGTTTGAGGTCAACCGGCTCACACAGATCGAGGACGAACGTGTGGCTCTTTGTGGCAGCCACTGCCTCCTTCAGCTTTGCGCCCCTGATGTCCGCCTCTAAAGGGTCGTTGGCGAACGGCGCGATGGATGTCACGTCCCCCGTGTCTTTCCATTTAATGTGAACGACGCCTTCGGCAAGTGCGACTTCCCGGCTCTTCAGTCTGCTTCCATTCAACACGGAGAGAACCTCGTTTCTCCAGTCGACGGACAACTTCTTGTGGCCTGCCAACTTCTCCATCACCTCAATCGAGTTGTCCTGGTCGCAACCCATGTACGGCGGGCAGTCCTTGAACAGCGCCGAGTCGGAAACGTGTTTCGTGTTGTTATCCCACAACTCGTCATCCAATCCCTGACCTTCAAACTTCTTGAATACGGCAGACCTCGATTTTAGGAAAGGGTATCTCTGGATCCAGTCCGCGTCCGACCTCTTCTCGTGTTTGAATTGGTAGTAATTCCACAACCGGACCAGCACGCGGTCGCACTTCACCAGCTGAACCATGTCCTGCACGCTGAGCTTTCCCAACTTCGCTTACGACGGGGAGCCGGCCTGGACCCAAACGACCTCGCAAGCAAGCACCTTTTTCAGAACGCGACACTTCTCATTGTCCGTGAGTGATTCCATTGCTTTCCAACAATGCGTGTCCGGGTCTGGCACTTGCACGAACCAATCGCCCTCCTCTTTCTCCTTTTTGCCCTTTTTATTCGGCGGGTCCACGGGGACGTTGTACACCACCTCCGTTCTGCCCAATTTGTCGTTGTGGATGTAGGCGACCCCAGGCTTTACGTTTTTGACCTTCTTCTTTTTGACGGTCCACTGCGCCCCATCGTGGCTCAGCAATCTGTCCGTCTCCCATTTTTCGAAAAATTCCACGGCCAGTTTCCAGACATTTTCCCCGGCCATCGCCAGAGGTAAGTAAGAACGCAGGGCAACATTTTGCTTCTTAATGGCCTCCTCTTCCTTTTGATCCGCGAGAAGCCACAAGCTGTTTTGAGGCGCCTTATGAAGCGCCGTTGTACAAAACTTAGGCCAAGCCCGGACCTGATCTTGTTTCCCGCTAGGGTTCCCCATCACAGCTCTCGGGCAGCCGTCATGCTTCCACTACCATCGAATGTCTTTCATAGAAAGTTTCAACTATCTGGGAGGCGCCTTCAGGTCCTTCTTGTTGTCCTGTGAACTAACAAGAAAATACCCTTCGAAGTCATCGTCGGAAAAGTACACCATCCGTGCCGGCCACCGCTCGAAATTATACTTCTTGGCCACCTCGCTGCCGAGCAGCGACCTGGCTGCAGCCGCGTTGTGCTGCCCGCACACCGCGTAGTAGTAGTATTCTCCCGCCAGCTCATCCTTCCACTCCTCCGGCTTCAGACGTTGTGCCTTAGTCCCAGGAGTTGGTTTTTGAAGCCCCAGTGGTGCGAGCTTGAAGACCGGCAACTCGTACGTCTGTTCTTTATTTTCGAACGCATACTGCATTGCTTCCCCTATCGTTTCCACGAGGACGGGATCTAGCGACCGCTGGTTGTAAAGATCCTCCCACTCCCTTATGTCAATGATCTGAGCCGGGCTGATCTCAAACTCCCGCCTTGTCCTGACACCGTCTTTATACTCCAGGAAGTACCCGACGTCCACGTCGATGGCAGACCGTGGTGAAAGGTCCCGACTCGGGCTGTTTATGTTTCGAAGCTGGACGTTTGCTACCCGGGTGGCCCTCTTCCACCCCCCTCCCCTTCCGTTTCTCTCCCGCAGTCCTCGGGGTCTTGGTCTTCTGTTTCTTCGAAGAGCCCACCAACTCTTCTTGACATTGTCCCCTCCTTTTTTGGGGAGTGCCCTGCGCTCCCTCCCCGTCCACAACCTCGCCTTCCGCGCCATTGCCCTCGGCGGGCTGCAAGTCAGACCCACACAGGACTCCCTCTTCTCCGGGATCCGCTGCGGTCTGTTGCCGGGCCCCAGGTATGGACAACACGGACCTGTCTCTTTCCCTCGACGGCGAAAACGGCGGATACGGTGTCGCCTCATCTTCGCTGTCGTCAAACTGACCTCTGGCATCCTCCTGCTGCACATGTGTAGCCTCCCCGGAACCCAGATCACCCCCCTCCCCCGCTGCCCCGCTCGACTCACAACCGCCGCACGACTGCAAGGGCATTGACAGTTCCAGGTCGGGACCGACTTCGCAAGGGACGTCGAGGGCGATGCCCTTGTCCTCCAACAGGTCGACGAACTCTCGACCCAAAACAAACCCGCCCTGCTGCCGGAGGTCGTTGTAGAACGGGGTGTTGGCAGCACCTGCTCCGAACCCCTCGAACAGACACATGTCGAGAACTGCCCCTTGGCACCGACGACGACATTCCCCTTCGAACCGTACACATGTTTCATGTAAAACCGTTGACCACTGCCTTTCGCATTCTCCCACCGCAAGACAGACCCCAAAACCCTGCGGCGCTTGTTGGCTTCGACGAAGATCACAGGACCACACGGCTGTTGGACTGGGTTCGTAGCATCAGCACAGCACCAGTCGACGAACCATTTCGACCTAGCGTGGTCGGACCACGTCCTCGAGGTCGTGGACGACCGTTTTGTAGAATCTTTCCCAGATCCCATCCCGGAGGTAGCTGCAGGCTCCCCTTCGCCCCTGGACGAAGACATATTGTCTGCGGACGACAACGGAAAACAAATAAAACACCAGCGAGCGTCAAATCGCAGTCAAAGCACAACGCAGGCGAAAAACAAAGGAGGCACACCTTGCCCTCAACATGTCGGTCACATGACGCTATCCGAGGACCTCGAAGTTCGGATCCCGACGAACTTCTAACGCGAAGACCAGCAATGAACTCTTACCTGCAACGAGATCATTCTTTACAAGGGCACACGCTTCATGCAGCCGGGCGACAACCACGTCGGTTTTTTCCGGAACACGGATGTTCACCCGATCGGGAATGGACGGGTGGTGACGCACAAAGCCCGCATTGGACGGGGCAGTGTCGTCCGTTTAGCAATAGGAACCCGGACAGTTCAGGATGCGAAGTTCGCCAAGATCCGTACTAAAAGTGCCTATCCGAAGCCGAACCAACGCACCCACCGAAACGTGAAGTTCGTCGGGATCCGAACTTCAGGAAAATGCGACAGGCAGCGACGGCGTCAGGCAAACACAGATTGGACTGAACGACGACCCGGAGAGGCCGCACTAACACAAAAGGCTGCTTGAGAAGGACAAGTTCGCCGAAATCCGAACTTCTTCTGGTATGCGCAGCTTGGCATTGGATGAGGCCAAGTTCGAACGAGCAGCCGCGACAACATTGTATGAGTCCCTGGAGGAGCAGTTGTGAATCAGGGTTTGACTCGTGTCGCAATCCACCGGGGATCATCAAGCCCAGCGCCCGTTCAATACACAGGCGTCACAGGAAGTTCGCCAGGATCCGAACTTCAGGAGGCTGCGAGAGAGACAGACAGAAAGTTGGGGTCCTAGCAAGGTGTCCAAGCACGGTGCCAACTGGATTCCCAGCAAGAGGGCCGCCCAACCGGGATCTCCAACGGGTTTCAGGAAACGCGAAGCTCACGCGACCTTGCGACGGGGATCTCTAAGAGTGCTTTTGGCATCTCGCTACGACAGTGACCGACTGTTTGGCACATGTTGATGGTGGACGGGCGAAAACCGGTTACGGGCAGATCCTTCCACGGTGATGGGTCTTTCCCACGGCCCGCCCGACGCCAATGATATCAGAGACAAATTAACGGAGAGGCCAGAACGCGAAGTTCGCCGAGATTCGAACTTCGCCGGGGCACGACATGGCAGGAGACGGCGTCAGAGACGGACGTCCAACATGACTTTCGTCATGTCACTGAACCGAACGATGACCAGGGATTTGCACGACAAGCGCGCGGTGCAGCGTGTACCAGCAACCGCAGAGTCTCACACTTCTCTGCAGTCCTACAAATCTGACATGTTAGGCAACACAACCGCATCTCGTCCCTCGCCGTTCTTTTCCCTCAAACAGAAGGACTAAAGACCGCTTCGGATGCGGTGACATTTGGGGATCCTTCGGGACGACGTCGTGAACCGAAGCCAAACAAAGCATTCAGTGACGATCCGTAGACGAGGGTCTGCGGTTCATCGACCGATGCAATCTCTGAAAAAACGGACATGTATTTCATCCTAACAAACACCCCCGGTCGTGCCAAGGAGTTTCCTATGGAGTTCCGTATGTCAGCCGCTTTCTCCTCAACCTCACGAAACAACGAATAGTTTCGAACCTGACCTGCTATCACCAAATCTGGCTACCCATCCACACGTTCAGGCCCACGCATCGGCACAAATTTGGACCCTTCAATCACAACCTCATTGCGCGACACGAGCACAACTGCGTCGACGAGTTTCCTGCTCTTGTTCGAAGCAGCGACACACAGAACTGTGGCGAAATCAGATCCGGACACAGTCAACCGCACACAGCAGTACGACACAACTCGTGGAGAAATCCCGGGGCAACGGAGCGGGTACTGGTCCAGGAACGAGCAACGACGAGCGCAGTCCACCAACTCTTGTTTCCGCGAGCCACCCCAAGTTCGTGGCGACGACCTGACGTTGTGGCACTCGAGGCAAGTGAAGTAGCGGCTAATGCAGCTTAGTGCTTTCCGCATATGGTTCATGAACTTATATCCGAGGACGGCGTCAGGCAGTGGGATGAGGTGCCCGAACTCCAACATATTCGCGAACTTGTACTGGCTTGCCCAAGGGCACTGACTCTCCATACTGGCCCAATTGCCCTCGCCCCAGTCGTCAAGATGCGCGTCCCTGCACGAAACGACGGTCATCCATGGGTCCTCGTCGAAGTCCTCTGCGATCGCTCCGTGGATCGTCGTCACACCGTTGAAATGCCGCACGGATTTCGCACAAGGACGAAAAGGTTCTGCTAAGCGAATGTACGTCTCGGCACTCATGGCCTGTGGTCTCGAGAAGATCGACTCGAAGATGCATGGTGTCGAGAAGGTCCCCTCCATCACGCAACCTGCATACCACGCGCACATGCCCAATGACACACACGGGCACGGAGACACTCGTAAACGCGTCATGTCTCGCGATGTGCGACCCATGGCATTAGACGCAGTGTACGCCCCTAGATCCGATTTCGGGTTGCCGGCTTCGTCGGTGTTCACATCTACCGGCCCGCGGGCCAGCCGCAAACACGCCCAGCGACATGTTCGCCTGGATCCGAACTTGGAGAGACTGCGCGGGAAAGACGAAGCTGTCTCCCAAACCCGACGTCGAAAACTGCCAAGAAGTTCGGATCCAGGCGGACTTCAATTTCGCACGAATGAAAAGTTGTGGCAATCCACCGGTCACCAGGAAGTCCACAGTCAGAACCCGCACCACCCGAAAGGTGAAGCACGCCGGGGTCCGAAGTCGACGGTTTTCCGACGAACCGTGCACGGGAAGTTCGGATCTCAGCGGACTTTGCATTTTATAGAATCCGCAGTCCGCCGTGATCCGAAATTTACGATTGTCTGAGGAACCGTGCACGGCAGGTTCTAATCCACGGCCCTGCAGGAACATCTCCTCCCACATGCATTGCGAAAGGAAGACAACTCAAATTCGTTGGGATCCGAACTTGGAAAATTCGCCGGGATCCGAACTTGCGAAAGGAACATCTCCTGCCACATGCATTGCGAAAGGAAGACAGCGGGTTCAGATCCACGGCCCAGCAGCGAACCCGACGACGGGACGAGGAACCTTTGCACGAGAAGTACGGATCCCGATGGACTTCGCATTTTTCCGAAACAAAAGTTGTGGCAAACACCCGTTCGCGAGAAAGGACACAGTCAGTACCCACACCGTGCGCGGCGCGAAGTTTGCCGGGGTCCGAACTTGCCACGCGATGTCCGGATCCACGGGAGGGTGTTTGCCGGGATCCGAACTTCTCGAGACCGCGTGGGAGAGAATCAACCGGCGGGCTACACATTTTTTCAAATACAAAATTGTGCCAAACCCCGGGAGCTAGAAACCCGCGTTCTGAACCCGCACAATAAGACAAGTGAAGTCCCCGGGGTGCGAACTTGACGTCTGTGCGAGGAACCGTGCAGTAGAAGTCCGGATCCAAGCGGACTTTGCATTATCACGGATCCGAGGTTCGCCGAGGTCCGGACTCGTCGAGTGTGCAAGGAATAGAGCGAGCGAGGTTTGGATCCGCAGCCCAGCAGGAACCTGTAGTTGGCCGGGATCCGAACTTTGAGAAATTACGTGAGAGATACACACCTATCTGCCAAACTCGCCGTCCTGCGAATTTCTTGAAGTTCGGATCCCGACGGACTTCATATTTTTCCACGTCCCAGGCTGTGGTTGCGGACCTGGGTTGCGAGGGAGACATCTAGCTGCATGAAGTTCGCCGGGATCCGGACTTGGCGAAATTGTGTGGGAGACATACACCTGTCTGTCGAACTCGCCGTACAGTAATTTCTTCAAGTTCAAATCCCGACGGACTTCCAATTTTTACACGTCTCGGGCTGTGGTTGGGGACCGGGGTTGCGAAGCGTGTTCGAACAGCTGCATGAAGTTCACCGGGATCCGAACTTGGCGAAACTGCGTGGGAGATGCACACGTGTCTGCCAAACTCGCCGTCCAACAATTTCTTGAAGTTCGGATCCCGGCGTACTTCTAATTTTCCGCGTCCCTTGCTGTGGTTGCGCACCGGGGTTGAGAAGCGTGTTCGAACAACTGCACAAGCTCGCCGGGATCCTAACTTCTTCCGGTGTTTGATTGCGCGATCAGTTCGGTTGGAACGGCCACGTTCCGATCACGAGAACAGTGTCGACGACGCGTGGGGTGGTGGGTGCTCAAAGTTCGACGTCCGACGAGGTTCGACGCCTGCCGAGGTTTGAAGTGGAGCCAGGTTCCGTGGGCAGCATGGTTCGATGTTATACGAGGTTCGATGTGCAACAAGATTGTGACGAAGTGTTTTTTATTCGTTCGAAGATCGGGATCGAAGTTTTTCCGATCGGTTGTCCATTTCGTTCGCCGGTTTCGACCGTGCACATGATCATTTGCCCCCGATCGTTCTCCACGATCAATTAGCACAGAACAGTCGATCGGCTGCTCGGTTGGCGGTTGGTGTGGTGGTTGATCAACCAGCAGAGCAATCGCCAACCGAGCTGTTGACCAATCAATTGATCCTGGCAGATTTCCTGGCCGATCGACGGTTCGGTCGAGGACTATCAGGTGGGTAAATAAACAGGTCGCTCGCCGGCGGGTTGACCTTCGGTGCAGCATACACGATCAATCATCCGATCGCAAGTAATCTTCTGTCGTTGAATGCGTTGTCGCCTCCTGCATTGGTTAATCATCCGTCGGGCAGATCAGCGGCGCTGTTGTTGGGGAGGCATACAACATCTATCACCCGATCGCGAGTGGTCGGCTTGCGTTTCGTGATGGGCTGGTTCATCACGTGTGTGGTGTACATATTGTCATGGATCTGATCGACCATCAGATCACGAGTGATCTGAACACACACGACAGAAAGAACAACACACACGCGATGGTAGCATCGACACGGCAGACACGACCAATCATCCGATCGCGAGTGATCTAATCGTGTTTCGCGATTGGTCGATGGATGCGTTAGCTGTGTCGACATTGCCACCGCGTGTTTCGATTGATCATCCATTGGGCAGATCGACGGACATGACATTGGGATAGCACACAAAATCGCCGCGTGTTTCGATTGGTCATCCATTGGACAGATCGGCGGACATGACATTGGGACAACACACAAAACCGCCGCGTGTTCGATCCGAGCAGTGTCGACATTGCCACCGCGTGTTTCAATTGATCATCCATTGGGGCAGATCGGGTATGGCAAGTGCTCACGATGACGTTGTGTTTTGTTATTGGCCGCCCCGTGTTCGATGCGAGCTTCCGTGCTTCGCCACTTGAGTACAGCACGAGCGTAATCGTTTGTTGATACTCTCCTCACACATCCTCACACATCCACACACAAGCGGAATCGAAGGGTGAACCATGACGTTCGTCCCTGACCGCGCACGTTCGCGCGCATCTCCCCGCGAAAAACGCGCGCGAACGCATATGCACAGACAGGCACACACACGCACACACACACACGCACACACACACACACACACACACACACACACACACACACACACGCGCCGACACACGACGCCCGCACACACACGCCCCTCAGGTACAGACGCGCGCACGATCCTGCCTCGCGCGTGTGGCACACACTTCAATACAGACACAAACACAAAGGGACACGCACTTGAACACACACACACACACAATGAAGTATGCACAAACACACAATCACACACAAACACACACACACACACACGCCCACCCGCACACATGCAGCCACGAAATCTTCGATCTGCGCGAGCATATCGTCACAAAAAACCTCCCCCGCACGCGCGCTCATGCAAACATACATCCCGACTGAGTGCGCACTCACCGTGTGGAACTGCCGAGTGAAGATGACCGCGATCCCCGGCGTTTGTCGTGATGACACTCTGTCCACCTTCGGGCGTGCACTTCGCGTTTGCTGGGGTGCTGCGTGGGGTGGCGGTCGCGCCTTTCGAGAAAGGAGATCGCGAGCGACGTCGAATATGACGTGGACAGCGACTTGGTAGGCGGAGGGACATGCGAGGGCATATGGGGTGCGTCGGTGCCACGAAACGTGCGCGGTGAAGAATGGTTGTGCCAGCTATGGCGCGCCAGCTGTTGACGAGAGTGGCGGTGCGTGGCTTCCGTCGGGCAGCATCTCCCCAGCAAAAAACGCAAAACGCATCGTCAATGCCCAGGGCGCCACTCGTATTTGTAGGCGCGCGGGCCACGAGGCCCCCTCGGGCCTTCCGTTTCGGATTTCCGTGCAGGGTCCGCGCGCCGACTCTAGTCTGTTCGATCCGCGCATCGAACGGTGGCTGCACATCGAAATTGTCGCGAGGGGGGCCTGGTGCGTCGAAATGTGACAAAAACGTCCCTACGGGCTGGCCCTTCCCGGACATCATTGGAAAACGGGCCCTTGTTCCGGGCCCCTCGCGTTCGTGTCTTCGGGTTCACGGGCCCCGGTGGAGGGGGTCTCAGGTATCGGCGGGGGGCAGTTTGTGCTTTCTAGTGGTGAGGGGGGAGAACCGCGGGAGGGGGGAGGGGGGCCGGGGGCTGGGGGAAAGGGGAGGTTGGAGGGGTTCGCGGCAATTCGCGTCTCCTGGCTGGCGAGCGGGGTCTGTGGCCGTGCGGGGGGACACAGGCGGGTCTTTCCATGGGGTGCAACGACAGTCTGACGCTCAGCTGCCTCGGGTCTGGGGCAGCCCTTTCGCATCTCGAGCCTGACGAGCGCATTCTCGCTCGGCGGCCCGTCAACGACATCCTCCATCGCCTTTTCTGCTCCGCTGTTGCGCCAGGCGGCGGCGGGCGTGGGCGCAGGGGCTTCCTCTCGTCGACAACTATCGTCTGTGGTTCGGTTGTCTCCGCTTCGACATCTCGTCTCTGCGTCCTGCGTCAGCAAGTGGCCAACGCCGTTTGCGTTGAGCCCTTGTCGAACAGTTGCGCCATCGTGTGCGCTTCGCCGTCGTCGAAGAACTGCGCCTCCCCGAAGAACTGTGAGCCCTCAAAGAGAAGCGCCATCGTGTGCGCTGTGCCCTCTTCAAGGTAAAGTGCTGTTCTGCCTGCCCTCGTGTCAGGCATGTTTGCCGGCCCATGGGAGCGGCAGCGTCGCGCCACCTGTTTCAAGTCGCAAGCGGCCCCGTGATTCTTGCTTGTCATCATTATCATCATCATCGCCACCATCATCACCATCATCGTCGCCACCACCATCAGCATCATCATCTTCATCATCATCATCATCATCATCACCATCATTGTCATCGTGATCATCATCATCTTCATCAACATCATCATCATCATCAACAACATCATCATCAGCCTCGTCAACGTCATCAACATCGTCATCATCATCGACATCATCATCAACATCATCAACGTCATCAACAACATCATCATCATCAGCGACATCATCGCCGTCATCGAAATCACCGCCATCGTCCTCTTTGGTGTCATCGCCATCATCAACATCGTCATCATCATCGTCATCATCATCATCATCATCGTCATCACAATCATCATCATCACGAACATCATCATCGACATCATCATCGTCATCAACATCGTCATCATCGTCAGCGACATCGTCGCCCAGATCAACATCACCACCGTAATCGTCACTATCATCGTGCTCATCACCGTCGTCATCATTGTCCTCATGTCGTGCCACGTGTCGCAAGTGGCTGGGACGGCGGGAACGGATGACGTGGACATCGGGGCACACGGTTTGCGTGTCCCGTTCTGCTTCTCTCTCATTCGTTCCACGCGACCGCCCCCACGACTCTTGTTTGGCTTGGCATTGAAGAAAAACTGTCGTTGATCACAAGCTGGGCATTGCAAACCACTCCCGCGCGGTCGAGGCAAACATCAAATCGCCTATTCCCAGCGGAACACGAAACCCCTGCGAAACACTTCCCTCGCTCGTTTGCTGTTCTCAACAAATAGATTAGAGGTTGGTTATCACAAAGGAGACGCATGGGTTGCGCGCGACCGCTGTTGGTACTAAGCGTCGCGCAGTGGCCACGGTGGGAAGGATGTCCGCCGTCCACGTGGCGTGCAGTGAGAGGTAAGGTATTCATTAACAGGAGGGGGCCGTCGTTCCGTGTTCGTGTTCTCGCCTCAACACTTGAGCTTCCCTCCCCGAAGAGACTATGGCGTCAATCCCAGGAGAGTTACTGTCGTCTCCATCCCGCACACACGACGTGCACATGATCCACCATAGAGGCCATGGATAACGAGCGCGTGCTCCTGGCGCTGGTCGTGAGGGATGCGATATCGCATTCCGCACGACAAATGCCAAGACTGTCCGTGCAACATCCACGGGCTCCGGAACAAAGAACGCACACGTTGTGTGCGCGCGATGGAGAACGCCTGCGCCGCTCGCTGCAATGACGATGGCGTTTCTTCGGCGAGAGCGCCGCATGTTTTGTGACGATAACCTCGACACGAAAACATGTCCTCGTTCAGTAACGAACAATCCGGACGCCTCCGGGAAATGTCTCAGTCATCGGGGCAAGGGGGGTCGCCATTGTCACCGCAAGCTCGAAACCAACAACAGCCAAACGAAAAACGGCGCGTGGCATGTGGTTGCTTGGCGAGATGGGAAGTTCGGATCCCGGCGAACTACAGCAATCATGCGCAGTGCTCTCGTGAAAGCAGCAATCTGTTGTGGTCGCTCGGCCGCAGGGAGAGCACGCGCAGGTGCGAAAATAACGCATGATTGCTGTAGTTCGCCGGGATCCGAAGTTCCCATTTTTTTGCGGTTGTTGGTTTCGCGTTCGCAGTCACAATGCCATCCCGGGTTGCCCTGATGACTACGTTTTGCGGGACACAGTTCCCAACTTTCGGGCGTGGGGTCGATAGTTCACAACGCCATGCCAGTTTTCAGCGTGCGACGAAGTTCGGATCCCGGCGGACTTGCAATCTGAAGCATGCGAAGTCGCGGGCTGCTCGGATGATTATTGTTGTTTCGACTGCGTCGCTGAAATAAGACGCTTACGGTTTGCATGGATCTTTTCAGAGTCCTGGTTGCATGACTGTTCGCTTTGTCGATGAGGAGAATCGGGGTCCATGGGGGTCTATTGGGGGCCGCGCTGCGCCAATTTCCGACGTGGTGCACCTGCGACGACCATTTCTGTTCTGCGTGCTCTGTTGGAACAAACACTTGTGAGCAGCAGCAGGGCCTCCCTGAACATGCAGCCAAGCCTAGCGTTCCTTCTGTGCAATTCCACACCGGTCATCCAAATATCCGTCGTCCCTCGTGCAAACCGGTTCCTGGCCAGTCCAGAAGCGCGAAGTTCGGATCCCGGCGGACTTTGAGGTCCCGCGTAAATTTAACCGCCGTTTTCGACCGCCACGACTGTCGAGTGCGTTCTGATTACCAAATGCCTCCGGGCAGGCAAAAGTGCTCGCATGAGGCCTGGAGCTCCAAGTGTGAGTTGATTGCGCGAGGACTGTGGGTGAGAAAAATTGCTCACCTTCTGAGATGCCCTTCGAGGGGTTTGTGGGGGTTGCCGACGGTGATAGCGGCCGTGTCCCTTGTCTGTGTGTCGTCGATCTTTGTTGCCCCCAGAGGGTTTTGACCGTCCCGGTGCGCGGATTCTTGTCGCACACATGCCGAATCGGGGTTTGGAAGGGTTGCAGGGGGGGTCGCCTTGTCGACTGGCCGAATCGGGGTTTGGAAGGGTTGCAGGGGGGGTCTTTCATCAGTTTCTACATATTTCTTGTCTGTGCGGTTGGGATGTCCGATCTCGGTGAACTCTTGCGCTAGGGGTCAGTTTGGGGTCGCGCTGCACCCGATTTTGTGGTGGTGCATCCACCGCTGCCCTTTGCTCTACGCGTGCTGACATTCAATGACAACTTGAGAGTTGCAGAGCCTTCCTTCTGTGCTGCCGAGGATAGCGTTCCTTGTGTGCACCCGCTGGCGCTCCGTTCCACTGACATCGGCCGCGCAAAAACAGGTTCCTTGCTACTCCCGCACCGGCCAAATTCGGATCCCGGAGAACTTCGAGGCGCCGCATGAATCTGACCGTTGTTTTCGACGGCTTAGACTTCTCCGTCCGTCTTCAATGCCGGCGGCCTAGTATTGCGCAAAATTGCTCGCCTTGTAAGTTGCCCTGAACGGGGTTTATTGGGGTTGACGACGGTGTCACTGGCCGGCTCCATTTCCGGTGTGCCGTGGATCTTCGTTCATCGGCGCCCCAAATTGCGGTGCGCCCGAGCAACACCTGCTTCTGTGCAAACGCCATCCACCCGTTACGAATGCAGGCGAATCCACCAAGTTCGGATCCTGGCGGATTTTGATGATCGACGCGAATCTGACCGTCCTTTGCGTGGTGCCTGGAGCTTCGAGTGTGAGTTGATTGCGAGAGGACTGTGGGTGTGAGAAATTGCTCGCCCTCTGAAATGCCCTTCAAGGGGTTCATGGGGGTTGCCGAAAATAAGGGACACGGCTGTTGTCACCGTCGGCAACCCACATTAACCCCTTCGAGGGGATTTATGAAGGCGAGCAATTTTTCGCGCCCACGATCTTTGTTGCCCCCCTAGGTTTTTGACCGTCGCGGTGCGCGAAGTCTTGTCGCAGAATCGGGGGTCGCCTTCTAGACTGGCCGAATCAAAGTTTGGAAAGGTTGAAGGGGGGATCTTTCATCCTTTTCTGCATTTTTCTTGTCTACGCAGTGGGGATGTCCGAGTTCGATAAGCTCTTGCGCTAGTATCTGTGAATGGAAAACTGCACGAGGTCGCTTAGACGATGGTGAGAATCGAGTTTATGGGGGTCAGTTTGGGGTCACGCTGCGCCGAATTGTGTAGTAGTGCATCCACCACTACCCTTTGTTCTGCGCGTGCTATAGTTCACCGACAACATAGCCTTCCTTCTGTTCGCCCCAACATAGCGTTCCTTGTGTGCACCCACTGGCGCTACCTTACACTGACACAAGCCGTGCGAAAACAGGTTCCTTGCTACTCCTACACCCGCCAAATTCGGATCTCGGCGAACTTAGAGGCTCCCCGTAAATCTGACCGTTATTTTCAACAGTTTGGACTACCCAGTCCGTCTTCAATGTCGGCGGCCTGGTAGTGCGGAAAAATGCTCGCCTTGTGAGTTGCCCTGAAAGGGGTTTATTGGGGTTGACGATGGTGTCATTGGCCGGGTGCATTTCCGATGTGCCGTGGATCTTCGTTCATCGCCGCCCCGAAATGCGTTGCGGCCGAGCATCGCCTGCTTCTGTGCAAACGCCATCCACCCGTTCCAATACCTGCAGCCGCACGAAAACCTCTTACTCGCTGCAGGCAAATCCGCCAAGTTCGGATCCTGGCGAACTTTGAGGATAGGCGCAAATCTATCCGTCCTTCGCATGGCGCCTGGAGCTTCAAATGTGAGTTGATTGCGAGAGGACTGAGGGTGCGAGAAATTGCTCGCCGTCTGAAATGCCCTTGAAGGGGTTCATGGGGGTTAACGAAAATAAGGGACACGACCGTTGTCACCGAAGGCAACCCCCATAAACCCCTTCAAGGGCATTTCAGAAGGCGAGCAAATATTTCGCACCCACGATTTTTTCTGCCCCCCCAAGGGTTTTCACCGTCGCAGTGTGCAGAGTTTTGACGCAGACATGCTTGTGTTTCTGCGTGCTGTCCGGTTCGCGCTGTCGCACGTCGACGTTCCCGACGCGCGAATCGAGGTTCGCCTTCTCGACTGGCCGAATCAATGTTTGGAAGGGTTTAAGGGGGGTTCTTTCATCCTTTTCTGCATTTTTCTTGTCTGCGCAGTGAAGATGTCCGTGTTCGATAGCTATTGCACTAGTGCCAGCGAATGAAACAACGCACGAGCTCGGTTAGACGATGGTGAGAATCGGTGTTTATAGGGGTCTGTTTGGGGTCGCTCTGCGCCGAATTGTGTGGCGGTGCATCCACCACTACCCTTTGTTCTGCGCGTGCTATCGTTCACCAACAATAGAGCATTCCTTCTGTTCACCCAAACATAGCGTTCCTTGTGTGCACCCACTGGCGCTACCTTACACTGACACAAGCCGCGCGAAAACAGGTTCCTTGCTACTCCTGCACCCGCCAAATTCGGATCCCGGCGAACTTAGAGGCTCCCCGTGAATCTGACCGTTATTTTCAACAACTTGGACTGCCCAGTCCGTCTTCAATGCCGGCGGCCTGGTAGTGTGGAAAAGTGCTCGCCTTGTGAGTTGCCCTGAAAGGGGTTTATTGGGGTTGACGACGGTGTCACTGGCCGGGTGCATTTCCGATGTGCCGTGGATCTTCGTTCATCGCCGCCCCGAAATGCGGTGCGGCCGAGCATCACCTGCTTCTGTGCAAACGCCATCCACCCGTTCCAATACCTGCAGCCGCGTGAAAACCTCTTACTCGCTGCAGGCAAATCCGCCAAGTTCGGATCCTGGCGAACTTTGAGGATCGGCGCAAATCTATCCGTCCTTCGCATGGCGCCTGAAACTTCAAATGTGAGTTGATTGCGAGAGGACTGCGGGTGCGAGAAATTGCTCGCCCTCTGAAATGCGCTTGAAGGGGTTCATGGAGGTTGCCGAAAGTAAGGGACATGACCGTTGTCACCATCGGCAACCCCCATAAACCCCTTCAAGGGTATTTCAGAAGGTGAACAATTTTTCGCACCCACGATCTTTTCTGACCCCCAAGGGTTTTGACCGTCGCGGTGTGCGGAGTCTTGACGCAGACATGCTTGTGTTTCTGCGTGCTGTCTGGTTCGCGCTGTCGCACGTCGACGTTCCCGGCGCACTAATCGGGGGTCGCTATTGCACTAGTGCCAGCGAATGGAGCACCGCACGAGCTCGCTTAGACGATGGTGAGAATCGGTGTTTATAGGGGTCTGTTTGGGGTCGCGCTACGCCGAATTATGTGGTGGTGCATCCACCACTACCCTTTGTTCTGCGCGTGCTATCGTCCACCGACAACAGAGCCTTCCTTCTGTTCGCCCAAACATAGCGTTCCTTGTGTGCACCCACTGGCGCTACCTTCCACTGACACAAGCCACGCGAAAACAGGTTCCTTGCTACTCCTGCACCCGCCAAATTCGGATCCCGACGAACTTTGTGCCCTCAACGCATAAATCTGATCGTGCTTATTGTTTGCTCCGCTGTTTTGCAGGGTGTGGACACGAATTCGAACGACCCTTTCGACCTGCACAAGAGAGAATAATCCATTGCACTGACGGGAATCGCATCCGCTGCACCGACGGTTGCATGACGGCACCGAAGAAGGCTCAGCGAACGGCCGCATGAACCGGGCTATGGAAACTGAACAAGCCGTCGACTTGCATTGCCAGATACAACACTCGGAGTTGGCCCCGACGACCTCTTCGGACAGTTCGCCGTTCCAACAGTCATCTGCGGATTTCCCCAGAAAACGAAATCTCGCTTTTCGTGAGAGCTTTGGAGGTTGCATCCAACTGCCCATAGAATTGGCAACGACGCCGGCGGTCGAAGAACCGTC